TGAGATAAAATTAATATAACAAGAGGCCCTAAAATTTTCTTACTATTATTTAGGGGATCATTTTGCATCCACCTTGGATTACATGCATGTACCTCACCTTAGAGATCATTCTGAAAACTATGACTGGACTAGAGCTCACCAGAGCATGATAAGGCCTACGTATAAGGAATTATTCCATGCATTTGAAGGTTTACTGTTTGCCTTTACCCTGAAAATTACTGTTTACTGGATTTGGCTTATTTAGGTGAGTTGGGAGAACTGAATTTGGAGGCTTTGAAAAAGATATTGAAAGGTGAACAAAGGATTTATCTTTATAAATTTTGTGTCAGGATTGAGGTGCTGCATAATTTACTATCATGATGGTACCAGACTGAGTCCTGTCTTTTTTGCTTTGGCTTGAGACCCCAGGAGGGTACAGTTACAAAGGTACGTACTTCTCCTAGAAGACCAGACTATAAAGCTGTCTGATGATTTAGGGCATGAATCTACCAGAAGTTCAGAAAATAGAAGTTACAAAGAACCAATTCTGAATTTTATTCTATTGTGTTTTACTCAGGGAGAATCCTGAAGAGTAAGTTGTTTCAATACTGAGAACACTAATAACAGTGTCTGGGCCAACTATACTTGTCATATTGTACAGACAACTTAGTTTGATCCTCTATCCTGGCAGAGACTACATTCACAGAGGCCTTTAGAGGAAATTCCTCAGAGATTAATACGAAATCATGAGTTTGGAAGCTCCCTGAGTTCCAAAGTCATTTATCATGAGATAAAAGCATCATCATGCCAGGGCACAGTGGCTCATGCCTGTAATCACAGCACTTTGGGAGGCTGAGGCAGGCAGATCACCTGGGGTTGGGAGTTTGAGACCAGCTTGAGCAATATGGAGAAACCTCATCTCTACTAAAAATACAAAATAAGCCAGGCATGGTGACGCATGCCAGCTACTCGGGAGACTGAGGCAAGAGAATAGCTTGAACCTGGGAGGCGAAATTTACACTGAGCCAAGATAGATTGCGCCATTGCACTCCAGCCTGGGCAAATAAATAAATAAATAAATAAATAAAACCAAAAAAACCCCTCCATCTCCACTAAAAAAATTAAAAAGCATCATCATGATTTAGATGAGTAGTATTGCAGAATGGTTAAGAAAGGCCTTGATGGAAGATGGAAATGGATTTGACATGAATTTCCACATTAAACAACTTAAAGGCTATATGATCTGGGACAGGATATCGTAGAATTACCATGAAATTGTAAATAACTGAACAATCTCAAGTATCACTTGAGTGAAGCACTCAGCACAATGATGCTATAATTAGCACATTATAAATGGTGAGTAGTTATTATTATTATTTATATTATTTTTACTTCTATGGAAGAAATGAGAATCATCTGTGTTCCTTAGTGTTTTCCTATGTAACAGGACCCTAAATTTGCTCTTGACAACATTTCATATATATATATCCATTTGACTGTATTAAACTTAGCGACCATATGTAAGCTGACAACTTTGATTAAGGAATTTTCTATTGGAGCTTGACTTAATCTTTAGTTTGAATGGAAAATCTGGTAGTGAGGCTTTTTCTCTTCTGCAGTTCTGTCAAACACTGTGATCCATGGAGACAGAAAGGGGAATTAAGCCAGGAAAATACCATAAGTAAAAACTTTATGGAATTAAACACAGAAGCAACCATGAAAGAAGTGTAGGGAAAAAAATACGTAATCAATGCTGCGAAGTCAAATGACTCCTGAATTCTGTATTGACTGAACTTGAGAGTAAAATAATTTACACAAATTAAAATTCTTAAGGAGAATGAGTTATAAATAACATACCCATCAATCTCGATTTCAAATGATATTCTAGAACATCTGAGTTCTAATGCATTTGGGACAATTGTCAAAGTTCTTCACTGGAAACTGGGTTTAAAATGTATCGGCAATAAATTTTACGGTTTTTATGTGTTGTATTAGTCTAATCAGCTGCTAACCCTGCAGGGGTAAGGGCTAACATTTGTCAAGATGAAGTAACTTGGAAGTGGAAATGATGCATTTGTTCTTTCCTCAAAAGAAAACATGGATCTTTATAAAGTAATTTTTTTTTCTTTTACAAAAAGGGACCCAGGCTCCATAATTTTATATGTTAGACTCACTGATTGCTCTTTAAAGAATTGGGACAGTCTGTGAAGCAGGCACAGATGGAACAGAAACAGCTTCAGCAGAGATTTGATATTCTAAGTCATTCTCTGCAGAATGACAAATGCTAGTGCTTTTCGTTGTGATACATTCCCCCGACCACACATATCTGCAAAAAAATGTGCAATATCTTTAGAAAGATAATACTCATTGTGATTTTACTTTTAGGGCCTAAAAGATTCAGATTTCTTAACTCTTTATTATTCTGGAAAAATCAAGGCTAAGATGGACTCCTGAAGAAATTATTTTCTTAACATAAAAGTATGGCTAACGGAGAACACATGTAAAAGTTTAAGCTTTTCCAAACCAACATAACTTCTCATGCATGCAGCAAAGACTGGCCATCATCAAACACCTTTTTTTTGGGACAAGTTAAAAAATAGTGCACACTCAGCTTGCATCACCAGAATTGGCCATCTAACCAGGGTAAGCATTGGATTCATTATCCTAACACCCTGAAGGCAAAATTCTAAGGACCTATGGATCATAACAAGATGGAGGTCACAGGAGAGCCATTTAACTCTATTCCTAACATAAGTTATTTGTGAAAAAAAGATACCGTTGAATTGTTTTTGCATGAATGCTATAAAATACTTTTATTAAAAATAAAAACAGCAATAGATAAAACAGAAAAGGAGAGAGAATATCCCAAAGCAACAACACGTTTAACAGAGATGAAGCCCATTCTGTTTCCCTAGGGTGAAAATGTGTGGTTAAACATATGAGAAGGATATTTTGCTTGGTGTATGTTACCCATCATAGTAGCAACAGCAGGAGCAACTACAGAAAACGGCCCATTAGTTTTTCCATAATAAACTATTTTTTCACTGACACACTCTTGGGATTCTTTGACATTACTTCAGTACTTATTGGTGGATGGCCTCAATAATTGGAACTCTCACAACCTGATATTAACAGTTTCCCCATCACTTTAGTATATGCTAAATATTATGAAATTTGCATTTCAGGACTTCCTTTTCAAGGTATATGATTCCAAAAGACAAACTTATACATTCAAAATGCTCTTTATATTTTTGCATTTTACATTTGTATTCCTTTCTCAAATTAGCATGTCAAGACACCTATTCAATATAACTTTATCACATTCAAGGAAGGACTAATGAATGAGAGTTAACAACTTCCAGCTGCAGTCTCCAATGTGTCTAACTTACACCTAAGGCAATAGCCTCTGAACACGGGAGTTCTCTGAAAATATGTGCCCTGAAATGTACAAGCACAAATGAGAATTCGATGGCAGTCTTCATTGATCTTAAAAATTTTCAGCAGTTAATTGTGCCAAACATTAGAAAGAAGACAGAGTTCTTAATGATAAACAGAAATCACAATTGAATTTGGAAGCCAGGAATGTTATGTAACATAGCAGAGTAAGTTTCATCAGAGAACTATTCAGCCATTTAAGGAAGAACATATAGGAAATCTGATATGAGAACACTAAAACACTGCTTGAAAATTTTTCTTAAAGCTAGTGAGAGTATTAGACTTCATCTGACACTATGTCCTCTCTAAATGTTATAATAAGACTGAGCCTAAAGAGGTAAAATGACCCAGGCAGGGACCAACAGGTAATTTTCACCACATCTCCAGATTCCAAGTCTAATGTTCCATTACTAGAGCAGATCCCTCTCTGGGGAAGACATAGTAGCATATCTCTAACTCACAGGATTAATTTGTATGTTATTGCTCCCTTTTAAAAGGCCACAGTAAAATGAGGAGGGTATGGCCAGAGAAATGACAACTATTCATAATTTCCTATTTCAATTGTGCTATTTAACAAAGGAAACCACTGCTGAGATACCAGGGACTTAGGAAAAACGTCTAACTTAAAGTCTAAGAGAAAAGGCAAAGAAGAAAGAAAAATAGTCAATGTATTAGATACATGGAATGATAGATGACAGTTTCCCATTAAAAATTTGTTAATAAATTTTACAGAATACATAAGATTTCTCAACAAAAGGAAAATGAAAAGAGAAAGAATAATCAGGAAAATTCAGAATAAGCAATATCATTTTCAACAAACATTTATTAAACATTTCTTATCAGCCATGCATAATACTGGATACTAGGTGCTACAAAGAGATGTTAAAGTTCTTGTTCTTAGAGAGTTATTAGTGTAATGAAAAGACAGAAATTAATCAAATAATTACACTATCTATCATTCAACCCAAGTCAAGTGCTCTGTGACAAGAACATGATTCTATGAAGGGTTATGAGAAAAGCTTCTGACCTAACTTGGAAAATCAGAGAACTTTTCCAATACAAACTGATATTTGAGCTGAGATAAAGGACAAATAGGAATTAGGCTAAATAAATGTGGCAAAGAAAGTGATGTCTCAACATCTATGGGGAAAAACTGTGTGAGATGGGGCTTTGAGCCAGAGACTATATTGGCACCTATTAAGAATTTAGGGCCAGGTACAGTGGCTAACACCTGTAGTCCCAACACTTTGGGAGTCCGAGGTGGGTAAATGGCTTAAGCACAGGAGTTTAAGACATGCTCAGGCAATATGGAGAAAGCCCATCTCTACAAAATATACAAAAACCAGTTGGGCATGGTGGTGCCTGCCTGTGGTCCCAGCTACTCAGAGACTGAGGCTAAAGGATCAACTAAGGCCCAGGAGGTCAAGAGTACAGTGAGCCATGACTGTACCACTGCCCTCCAGCCTGGTTGACAGAATGAGACCCTATCTCCAAAAAAAAAATAGATCTTTTTAGTAGCTTCATTACATTAATGCCCCCAATTTATCACACCTTTTGAAATCCATGCCCTTTTTCTAGTGCCTTACCATAATGACTCTGCTTGCCATGTGACTTTCTTTGTCAATAGGACAGGAACAAACTGGACCCAGGCAGAGACTCAGAAAAGTAGATGCATGCTGCCTCTTTCTTTTCCTCCACTATGAGAATCTGCATAGGCTTCCCTGCTAGAATGAGAAAATGTGGAGCAGAGCAGTAATCTCAACTCAGCTCCTTCAGGTTCACCCAGGCACCAGCCAGACACCTGGGAGAGCCCAGCCAAGATCAGCCAAGTAGTCTAGCTGATTTATAAATAGTTAATTCTGCTAAGCCCTCTCTCCACATCAGCAGAATTTCTCAGGTGAGCCCCAAAAGACTATCCAATTAATCCACAGATTTGTGAACTAAATAAATATTTAATATTTTAAGCCACTAGGATTTGTGGTTCTGTTAAGCAGCATAAACATAGCTATAGATAATGGATACAGTGGTAAATGTAAAAATGGATTGCACAGTGGTATATGATGTGCACAAGACTGTAACAATTTTCAGGCTCTTGCAGTAAGATAAAATGGCAGCTTGGACCAAGTGATAGTGAAGATGACAAAGGCTACCCAATTGAAGCAATTTGAATTTAATTCTCTAAGAAATGGTGAATTACTAAATGCCTTAAACAAACAAAGATTGACATGAACAAGCTTCTGCTAATTTAGGAAAATTAAATTGGCCATGTTTTCATGAATGGATTATGGTAAAAGAGTAGAGAAACAGAACACTAGAACGAAAACAACTGAAAGAAAGAAAAAAAATTAAATGCCAAGGGAATGTCTCTTCACCACATGATATATAATTGAACAGCCTCATTCAATGAAACCATTCTGAGGCCTGTATTCAATAACATATTCTCATTCTTAAAAAAGATGCTAATTCTAGATGTTTGTAGCTTTATTCAATGCCCTTTTGACAGTCCAACCTCAACTTGTGTTGACTTGAGAATGGAATATAATCCATGGATTAAAGCAATGAGTTTCAAGACCCTTTTGCATTCTGTAGTCTTGTGAACAAGAAATTAACATGAAGGCATAAACAATTCAAAGGGTATGGAATCAGTTTTAATGCCCATTTTGCCATTGTTGGCAACAGGTTGCTCCTTTCTGACTTTTCAAAATGTTCTCAATTTCATCCTTAACAATCATAATAAAAACCATGTTCCATAATATATACAGACACATTATATTTCCTCAGTAAGTGTTTAATCACCCAGTGACATTCATGGGTATGTTATGAAATAGGAACTGTGTAGGGCAGTAAATAATGGGCTTTAATCTTATCTCCATCTAAAGCCAATTCCTCCAGTTTTACATAGATCCCATTTCCTCTTTCTTGTTTAAGGACATCATTCTCAGAACTCAGAATTCTTTGAATATTTCTCCAGCAATTCTTCCCTCTTTCTCTGACATTAATATTTTTCTCTCTTTCTCCTTGTCATTGAAATAGGTATATATAAATATATAGATATGTCTAAGTTCTTAAAGAAGTTTACTTGCTCCACTTTCCCTGTCTCTTATCCATTCATTACTTAGTCTTATTTGTTGAAATACTCTGAGGGAATGACCTATTCTTGTAGTTTCTAATTCTCTCTTCCCGTTGTCTTTTAAATCCACTCAAGTCAGGCCTTCTTTGCCTCCCTCATCGCATCAAAACTACTGTCTTCATGGTTACTGCTGATCAACAGCCATTCTTAGCAACAATCCTACCTCCTTGATAAATCTTTTCTCATTTTCATTTCATACCACCCAATTCCTTGATGTTCATTCTTTTTCGCTGGTTTCTTTCTCAATCTTTGTTAAGGGTTCTATTCTTCTCCCCAATCTCTTAAAGTTGGGAAGACTCCCACATTGTTTTTGGTCTCTTCACTTGCTCTATTCATGTCTTTGGTGATCTCATCCAATCACATGAATTTAAATATACTCCATACGGCAACAACTCACAAATGTGTATCTCCAGCCCTGGCTTCTCTCCTAAATACCACATTTGTATCTCTGTCTACTTAACTATCTACTTGAATGTCTAATGGGCATCTCAAAATCAATATGCCCCAAAATAAACACCAGGTGGTTTCACCTGCAACCTTCCACATTTCAACTGATGAAAACTCCATCCAGTTACTTAACATAAAAAATTATGGTGATGATGATGACTCTTACTTTTCTCTCATAATTTGTACACTTCCAGCTTATCCTTCTAATTGGTTCACCCTTATCTTCTGACAGTCTAATATCAACACAGTAGACATAGTGCTCCTTTTAGCATTTAAGATAGATCATATTATTTCTCTGTTCAAAACCATCGCAATGGCTTCCATTTTTATTTTCATACAGATTAAAAGTCAAATTTGTTTAAAAGCATTAAATGGCCTCCTGCTCTGTACCTTAATCCAGTTACCTCTCTGCCCTCAGTTTGTAATATGCTCTTCTTGCTCACTCTCTACTACACTATAAGCTTTCCTTACTTTTCCTTAAACTTGATGACCAGATTATCATCTTAAAAGATTTGCTCTGGCTACGTTTTTTGCTTGGAATAATCTGCTTCCAAATATATTCATTGCTAATTCCTTAACTTTCTTTCAATTTCTTCTCAAATGTCACCTCAATGATGCTGCCCTAACCTCAATATTTAATATGTCCTTCCTGCAAACCCTGGCACTCCTGATCCCCTTTGCCCTATTCTACTTTATTTCCTTTTTTCCCCCTAACACTTATTATCTATGAACACACTAAATAACTTATTTATTATGTTTACGGTTTGTTTTCGGTCTCCCTCTTCTTAAATGTAAAAGCAGTGAGGTCACAAATCTTTGTTCTGTTCAATGAAGTGTTGCCAAGAATAAACAAAGCATGCCACAGAGAAGACACTAAATACATTATATGTTGAATGAATGAAGTGATGCTCTGAATTATTTAAAATGGCATATCCCACCTCTGCCACAACTGAGCCCTACATATGAGCTGTGAATTATTTCTGTGGCTACAATTAATGGGTTTTTTTTTTCTCGGCTCTTAGAACAATTTTTGAATGTGAATTAAGACATCCTTTTCTCACTTTTCGCCTTTTTAATGTAATTGCCAACCATTACAGCCACTTCGTTTGCAATATGGAGGCCTTGCCCTCATCAAGTATAAAATGTAGGAATACATAACAGTACTGGGTAACCTGTTGGATGTGGAGAATGCACAGTGATACATAGGAATCAAAACCTTATGAGATAAATTGGACAGAAATCTAGTTTAGTGACTTACTCAGAGTTACACAGTGATCAGCAAACAGAATGTGAGAATACATTCTGGTGAAGACTATTCTCACTAGAACAAACTTATTGCTTATAATCTAATTCAGAATTTCAGAGGTTACTAACTTGCTTCCAGCAAAGTCAGACCCCAGGTGTTACAAGCTCTAGATGTTCCTGCTCATCACAGGTCCACGTTGGACATTCTCCACGATTTGAGCCCTCATCGTCCCCTCTGGTCTCTCCTGATACATTCAAATTGGGGACGGAAGTGTTTGCGTCCATGTATTTCTTAACATACCTTTATAACAACTAGCTTGGCATTTGCATGTGTGTATGTGTACATATATATGTAATGTGGAAAAATTCAAAGAAATCAGATAAGATGAGGAACTGTCTATGATAAAAAATGAATAACATCATATTGACTCTACTGAAAAGCACACTTCAACTCTGCTGTTCTACCTTTTTTCTTATTTCTATCATGTATGAGCACAAGTTCTTATATGTTATTTCACTTGTGTTTTGTTCAAGAGTTGTTCTATGCTTAGATGGTAAATCTTATATGTTATTTATATTTCACCTGCGTTTTGTTCAAGAGTTATTCAAGACAGATTCACTGTCTAAGCATAGGACAACTCTTGAACAAAATGTTTTAGTCAAGAGTTGTTTTGTGCTTAGACAGTTACATGCTTAGAGCCTAACCAGCTAGATTGCAGAATATTTCAGCTTTCTAAGTTGACCCCTGATTATCAACTAGACACTATGTTGATTGGTACAGATACAAAATTGTGAACAGAAAAAAAACCTTAGAATGAATACACATAAATGAATGAATAAACAAGATTAAGTACTGGGCAATGCTCTTCACTAAACAATGTATGGCTAATGCAATAAACCCAAATGGTAAAAAGAGATGCCATTTCTTACAATAGCTTCTTTTCAAATTTTAAGTGTTCAACATTTCAAGCACTTTTAAACTATTATCTGCTCTCAGCTCACATACAATAAACTGCCCAGTAGATATTTATTTAAAGTGAAATGTTGACTTCTGCTGAGGTTTAGCTATTTACTTGAAAGAATGACATTTGCAGCAACAGCGTCTGAGACTTCTTCACTGTAGTGATTCTAAATTTCCCACCAAAAATGTAAAGTAGTATAGCCACCAAAGAAAACAGTATGGAGATTCCTTAAAGAACTAAAAATAGAACTACCATTCTATCCAGCAATCTCACTAATGGGTAGATACTCAGAAGAAAAGAAGTCATTATTCAAAAAAGATACTTGCACATGAATGTTTATAGCAGCACAATTCACAATTGCAACATCATGGAGTCAATCCACATGCCCATGAATCAATAAGTGGATAAAGAAATATATATATATATATAATGGAATACCACATCATATATATATGTATATATGTATATCTATATGATGGAATACTACACAGCCATAAACCATAAAAAGGAATGAGTTAACAGCATTTGCAGTGACCTGGATGAGAATGGAGACCATTATTCTAAGTGATGCAGCACAGGAGTGGAAAAAAAAAATTGTATGTTCTCATTGACATGTGGGAGCTAAGCTATGAGAACTCGAAGGCATAAGAATGATACAATGGACTTTGGGGACTTGGAGGGAAGAGTGGGAGGGGCTTGAGGCATAAAGACTACAAATATGGTGTAGTGTATACTCCTCAGGTGACGAGTGCACCAAAATCTCATAAATCACCACTAAAGAACTTACTCATGTAACCAAATACCACCTGTACTCCAATAACTTATGGAAAAATAAATAAATAAATTTCCCACCAGTTATATCCACAGGATGTGGTTATGTTCACAACTTCTCAAGGACCATGTTATTTCTCATCTTAATCCATTTTCTAGTAAAGTATCCTCTGTAACATGTATTTACCTCTTCCTATTTTCTCTCAGTGGTTCTGTCTTCTGGTTCAGAATCTTCATGTGTGACCTA